AAAATGTGTGAATTTTTTGATGCTTGGACGAACTGATAAGGTGAGTGAAATGATGGTCGAGGATCAACACAATGTGAGTGTTCGAAGAGAGTGTTTCNTGGTGAGGAGATATATGAGCGATAATAAAATTAGATTTTAAAGAATGACAATCTCGAGTTGGAATTCTCCATCAGTTCGATTTCTTCATGAGCAAATTATGTTTTACAGGTAGTAATTTAAATATTTCATGCGCGAATAGTGATTCTTCAACTGAGCCATTTGGCCATGTAATCCAGCTGAACTGTTTGGTAACTGAGAGGAACAATATGGCCTTCTACCATTACCTTTGCCTACTAGCATAATCGTTTCTTCGATTGGTCCTTCTGGAATGTATTCAAGAGCTATCAAACGAGGACGATGTGCTTCGATACCCATTGATGCACGATTCACTGCTATCATCAGCGGATACTCACGCTCTATTTCCTGGAAATCTCTCCGTATTTCAAACATTCCAGCCGAGTTTTTAGATGGCTTCTATTTGTAAAATGTGTGAATTTTTTGATGCTTGGACGAACTGATAAGGTGAGTGAAATGATGGTCGAGGATCAACACAATGTGAGTGTTCGAAGAGAGTGTTTCTCTTATTTGGAACTTCAAACAACGCACTTTTGCATCAGACGTGACACGAACTTTCACACAACCGCCTCGGAATATCTCCTCAACGTATTCGGCCACTTTCGGCGGAGACATCCGTTGCGGATCCGCATCACCGATATCTCGACATACTGTGAAAGCAGCTTCGATCGTCTGAACGAGTCGCAGAAATTTCTGCAAATTAATTTCACTCTTTTATTTACTGAACTCTATGAATTGAACAGCAATTTCGTCAACATTTTTAAAATTTCTTTGATAAATTCACAAATTCCTTCATGATGAACGAATACTGTCAATGTTTTCTGCTCGCAAGTAAATGGTTCAATTCATTTTCAAATGACACAACTAAACCATAGGTTCTTTTGGTCGCTGTATTTGGATAGCTCCAACTCTACGAAACGCTCCAGTTATTTCCAATGCACAGTCAATAAAAATCGCAATTGCTGCCCTGTTTTTATCTTATCACATATGACTGATTCAAATATATTTATAAATCATTTCGTTCATTTCATCCGATTCATTTGATAACAATATTACACAATAAACCGTCGATTTGTTAAGAGAACGTAGAACCACTCACACTCGCTTCATACGAAACAGGTAGCAATGCAAGTGCTGAAAGTTTTGTTTTCTGTTCACTTTCTTCGCGAACATTCAACGGTATATGTAGTTCGTGAAGTGCACCAAGCGCAGCCACCAGCTCGGCTTGTGGGTATTTCTGGTGTGGTACTGTGACCAATATTGGTGACTTCATGCCCGCACTCAACGCCCTGAAATCAATTCCTCATTGTGATTGACTTGGCTGTTATTATCAACAACATCATTGCAGTTGTTGTTGTTGAAATGATCATTTTTGCCACAAGCGAGAAGTATTCTTATTAAATTAATGCTCCTTTTGGTACTTTCATGAAATGACGTTGCTAACGTTTTTGCAGTTACAATGAGTGTACCTATCCAGTTTTTTAGAATTATGCAATGACCTATCAATTGGATCCTATCACTTTATTTCTAATCCTTACAGCATATGCCTAGTGCTGAAAATACAACTGCTAAGAGTCTCTTTAGCACTTCGGTTCATTTCGATGATTTGCAAATGTCATTATGTATTTTGTTATCTTTCATTAATATGCATCCTGCCATTCTGCTAGTTTTGATATCAGTTAATCAGTGTTGTTGATATCGTTAATGTCATTGGTGTAGACGGCTAGCAGTGTCTACAGCAAACTTACAATTTCATCGCGTTACGGGCTGCAGTCGAGAATCTTCGCACGTCATCTTGATCGCGAGTCACGGGTCCAGTTCCCGAGTAAACCAAACGACCTGACGGTACCACTGACTTGTCAACTACGATCAACGATGCGGTATTGTTCGCTCCAGCATTCAACTGCAGCATTTCAATTAATCATCTAATAATAGTGATAGTGATGTGCAAAATAATAATAGTCGAAAACATTAATTAGCAAAAAAAAAGATGGACTGAACAACTCAAATATTTTGTTTGCGATATCTTCAGAGTATAAACTCATAAAGCGAACTCAACACCATCTGTCTCTCCAACTCTTTTTTCCGTTGCTCTGCATAAATTCCTTCCCGCTTTTGAGATTGATCCACAAAAAAAGGAAAATATTTTACTACTGATATGACATGATGCCCGCTAATAAAAATGATAACAACTGATGTGATTTTGTTGGTGACATTTCGAAAAAATATTATGAAAATGATGTAAAATGATGAAAGCGGTCTAATTTGAAAGATCAAAAGTAAAACTTCAGTGCATTGCTGCTATGAACAGCGATGATAGGCAATACGTCTGATAAGACAACTTTAATGTGATAACGATTAATTTATCACATCAAATGCAAATAAAACGATGAATTTTTCTTGATAATTATGCTTCTAGAATACATATCGTAATATAGAATGCATGATGAATGCAGTGCTCATTTCGTTGTGATGATCAGCATTCAAATGCAATTGTCAATATGGTTTATTGACATTCAACAAATATCTGTTACAAATATCTGGATAAGTTCATTTCACTGGATTTATTAATTTATCAAGTTAGCTGAAAAGATTCTGGAGTGATTCACACAGTTACAAACTCGAACATCTCCAATCCCGAGTAATGGGTGGCATAGCTGGTCGTCATTGCAGAAATCATCATATTGTACATTGTAAACCTTTGAGCTATGTGGATACTTAGCACATTCGGAAACTTTCACTCATAAGTACAGATCCACCCAGTTATTTTGACAGATCTTCAATTATCGATCGGGTACATTATGTAGACCTCCGATTTAATAGATGTGTATCCGTAGCCATAAGGCAGTGAGCTTGACCCACTTCCCAAAAAATTTTTTGACTTTCAATATTTTGAAGTGATAAATATGACCTTTCAAATCATCATCCATCGTGGAAATTTCAAAATCAAAAAATATTGAAATTAGGTTGGACCATGAGCATTTTCTTCGCTTACAACTGATTTACCAGTCCTTCCAAACACTAAAATGCTCCACAATTGGAAGAATGCTTCTCCAAATTTCAAATTCTGACTGTGGGCCTGTTAATAGATCAGGCCAATAACACAGATCTTTAAGTCACTCTTTGGAAAATGCTTTGTTATGTGTTGAAGATTCGATAGCTGCGCATACGCAAGGTACGTTTTGATTTATACCTGAAGATATTCAGAGACAACGGGAGCGAGTGATTTCAGTGGAGCACATTCTGCGAGTTGCTTGGCACAGTACGAAACAACAATGACTCCGTCTGATGTAGGCTCTGATAACGATTTGGCCAAATCCAAAGGTGCTGAGAGAAGGCTGAAAACAACAATCATTATAAACGATAACCTTACAATATCGATAATCTTGTCATTATAGGACAGTGAC